ACGATTTGAAGATCGTTTAGTGTGGTGTGGTGTGGTGTGAGTTTTGTGATATGAAGGATATGTTTTGCACGTTTCGTACTTTTTTACTCTTTTTTGTCTTTGTCGTTTCCCTCGGTGGTTTCACATTCTTCCGGGCCGGGAAGCGCTGCTCTATGTGGCCACGGAACACGCCCCCTTTCCCCCCTTCCTCTCCCCCTTCCGCACCCAGGCGTGCAACTGCACCCTTGTCCTCCAGATTCTGATCAGCATCAGCACCAACATCCCCAGAGCCAAAGCAGCGCCGCAAACAATACCAGCTTGACGCACCAACAGGCCAACAGCGCCAAAGGAAACAATATTATCCCGAACAACATCAACAACATCAACAACAACAACAGCGTCAACAACAGTCCCCGAGATTCAAAAATGCTGCGACTGAGCGACATGATGATGTCGATGCTCTTAGAAGGGGAGGAAAGCACGCAAGCCGATCTGCAAATGCCGCAACTAAGGGCCCCTTCCGTCGGCCGGCTCCGAGCGCCGTACAGTGGCGGCAGCAGTGGCGTGCACAACACGACGGAAGGCAGCACGAGCAGCGGCTTTACAGTCGGGCGCCTACTCGGGATCGCCAGCGGAGCTCGACACAGCAGCGTCCAGCCCGTCAGCACTGCCGCCAAGTCGGCGGCGGCTGGCGCCGCTGCCGCCGCCGCCAGCGGTGGTGGCGGACGGCACGCCACTGGCAGCGCCGGCGGCGTTGCGCCATCAGCGTCGCGCGCCGAGTGCAGCTCCTATTCTTTGTCCCGCGGACGCTCTAGCGGGTATGTGGGCGGTAGCGGTGGCGTCGCCGCTGGCGCTTTGCAAGGCAGTGATAGCTTCAGTCGTCCCACAGCTACATCCGTCGCCACATCCGTCACCACTCCAAGCACCACAAACCCGCTTGTATCCTCGACGGCGCAAAGCGGAATGGCGGGTGCGGACAGCGGCGTCGCCGCCGCGCTTCCGGCGCCGGGGGCGCTGCCGCCGCACCTCCGTGATGCCGCCAACCCTCTGTCGACGTCAACGCTGACGTTGAGTCTCGTACGGCGCGCCTGCATGTCGAATGCTGCAACCGTAGAAGGCGAACCGATGTCACAGATGGAGCATCATTTTGGTTCCTTCACGGCCTCAAACCGGTCCCGTCGCGGCCGGCTGCGCCGCGTAGTCAGTTGCTACGACAGCCGTTCCGGCGGCGCCGGCGCCGGCGGCGCCGGCGGCGAGAACAGCGGCGCGCCGAACGGCAGCCAAGAGGATAGCCAGATGGCTGACGATGAGGAGGTTGAGCTTCCGGCGCTGCCAGCGCGGCCGGGGTCCTCTCTTGGAATCGGCCTTTTGAGCAGTTTAGGAGTGGGGGAGACCATACATTACGTCAACGCCTCGGCGCGGCTATTGACCTTCGCGGCGCACCTGAAGTCGGCGCCAATGGTGACGCAGATGCTGGCGGGGGTAACTCCGCAGCAGACAAACAGCGGCGGCCTCGGCGGCAGCGGCGGCGGCGCCGCCGCCGCCGCTTCCAGCGGTGTCGTCCCAAGCGGCACGAGCTCGTATGCCACCGCCGCCGCCGCCGCCGCAGCCGCAGCCGCAGCGGCGTCGTCCGGAGCGGCGTCCGCTGCAACGGCCACCGCTGCCTCGACGCCAGGGGCGGATTGCGACGGCAGGGTGACTCGAGCGATACGTACTGCATCGATGCCGTGCATGGAGGCTGTAGCGGCGGGCGTCCGGGCCGCAGCGTCACCGGGGCGAGGGTCCACGGCATCGGCGGCGTCGGCGGCGTCGGCGTCGCTGACGGCATCGGCACTGGCTCGTTACGCCTCCGCACCGTCGCAATGGCCCCGTAGTTCCGTTGGGCGTTTTCTTACGGCGTCAATGCCTCATGACGGCGACGCCAGGGGCAGCGGCAGCCCCAGCTCCGTCGGCGGTGGGGACCCACGGGTCCACGGCGGCACCGACCTGCCAAGCGACGCCGTACACAGCGGCCCTCGGCAGGAAGACTCCATGAGCTCCTTCTTGCTACTGCCAGGCAGCAGCGCAGGAAAATTCCTGGGAACCAGTAGCAGCGTCGCGCAGGTCCGTACGACATGACGGTTGCGCGGTGACGGTTAGGCAGTTGTAGCTATACGACGGAGAGTAGAATCTTCCGAGTCGTTGTGCGTATGCGCCTTACATGTGATGCACACTGGGTTGCAGCCCTAATATTATTACCTCACGGTGATTGCTAACCTCCGTACTGCCGTACTTGTTTCTTCCCCCTTTGCCGTACTTCTAATCCATGGCACGGTGTCGTGCCGCAGCCATGTGGCAGCAGCGCCAATACTCTCCGGCTGGAGCCCTGGTACCGACCCGCGGCTCCACCTGACCCGCCGGGTCAGCGCGGCTTTGGCAGTAGCACCCTGCCGCACTCACCGACCCATGGGTCAGTCTCCGTCTCCTTGTCCAACCCTGCCAACGTTTCAGCGCCGGGAAGCACTGTTGCGACAGTAGCGACTGCCGGACTTGCCGTAGCTGCAGCAGCAGCAGTTGCTGCTAATAGTGCTACTGCCACCGCCGGCGGCGGCGGCGGCGGCGACAGCTTCAACAGCTCCAAGCACCCGAGCCGATTCAACCACCTTAACCAACCCAACCACCCGGATCACCAAAATCTGTTTCATCAACCCCAGAACATCCACATTAACGCACTGAGTAACACAACCGTTACGAACCATCATAACAGTAACCACCCGATGTTGTACGGCATGGGCACGTGGGCAACTCAGTCCCGTACAATTTGCAACCGGCCGGCGTCCTCCCCGCAGCCGTCCTCCGTACTCTTCTCCCCTTGTTATGCTGGCGTCGGCCCCAACACCCACACCCATGCGCACACACATACACACACGCACGCGCACACGAACACATATTCGGGAGGTAACCCCTCGGGGTGGATCTCTCCCCAGCCATCCGGACGAGAAATTGAGCTACAGCCGCCGCCGCCCCCACAGCCGCCGCCGCCACAACTGCCGACGCCGCCGCAGCACCATCCTCTGCAGCATCAGCAGCAACCGCTGCTACAGCTAGAGCTACAGCGAACACCGAGCCAAAACAACCTGCACGTGCGGTTGCATGCCGCGGGTGAACGGCAACCGCCGTACGAGTCCAGGCTTATGAGGACGCAGCCGCGCAGCTCATTCACCGTAACCTGTGGTGGCGGCGGCGGCGCCAGTGGCGCCGGGGGCGGCAGCATACCCTGGGGCGACAGTACGGCAGCGGATAAACAGCAGTGCGTCGGCGATGCATTGTACAGCAACGGCGCTGGCTGTCACCACCAAGCCGACGTGCCGATCCTTCCTGGAGCTGCCCTAGACCTGGCGGCAGCGGCGGGCACTGCTGACACGGCGACGGCGGCGGCGGCATATCCTCAGCGGGGCGCCGCCGCCGCTGCCGCCGTCGCTGAGGATGGTAGACGGGAGCGGGCCGGCGGCGGCGCGGGATGCAGACTCCAGCTACGCTCGGCGGCGGAGCCGCCGCCGCTGCCGCCGCCGCCGCCGCGGCAGCGTACGACAAGCGGTGAAGTTCACAGCCAAGGGGACGATGTCATCGCCAGGGAGGGTATCCGGGCCGCGATTCAGGCGGCGCAAGGCTCCTCAGGGGGCAGGACCGTACGGCGGCAACGGATGGCGGACGGTGTCATTGGAATGCTGCGTCAGGCGCTGGCGTCGCAGGATCACGGCGGTACGGCATCACGGCGCAACAGCCGTGACGAATGCTTCCATGAGATCTGGGCCACGCGCGCCAAGGACCCAGTGACTGGCCGCCCTGTTCTGGTTCTAGTGCAGGTAAAATACGGTGTCGTACGACAGTTGGGATGATTTAGCGGGTTTGTGTAGGTTTTTGGGTTTAGGCACGGAACATCCCCCTCTCCCCGCCCACTTCCCCGCCTAGCCTTTACCCTCCCTTGCCCCACTCACTCCCCGCCCCACTCCTCCGAGACACACACACACATACACACACGTACATACACACACACGTACATACACACACACGTACATACACACACGTACATACACACACACGTACATACACACACGTACATACACACACGTACAT